ATGATGAAGTAGTACGATAGTTGAGGGAACTCCTCAACGGTTACCAGTAGCTATGTTGTGTTTGGGTTTATTAATTTGTATTGATGAGGTCGTTACCTACACCTAGATGGGGGGGGTGATGGTTATCAAAGGTCCAATGATGAAGTAGTATGATAGTTAAGGGACTCCTCAATGGTTAAAAGTACCCATCCGGTGTTTGAACTTGAATAATTTGTATTGATGAAAACTTTGCATACATGTGGGTTGTGTAGGTATAATATATATCAAAGTACTAAACTAAAAAGTATAAAATAAAATTAAAAAACTGCGTTTAAAAAAACCGACTTCAAAAACGAATGACTAACAAAAAGTAAAAACTAAAAAGGAAAAAAATAACTATTATTGGTCATACGTACTTATAGCTTACACACCCACTGATAGGTTAGAAGTGGGTGCCACAAACCCACAACAAAATAGTTAATGGACAAAGTTGGTATAATGCGTTATACAATTTTAAACAGCTTGATAATGTTAGGTATCTATTAAGGTTTTAATGAATAATTTTGTTTAAAACTTGTGGCACCGACTTCTAACCTATCAGCGGGTGTGTAAGCTATAAGTACGTATGACCAATAATAGTTATTTTTTTCCTTTTTAGTTTTTACTTTTTGTTAGTCATTCGTTTTTGAAGTCGGTTTTTTTAAACGCAGTTTTTTAATTTTATTAAGGGTAGAAAATCATCGAATGACTGCTCCCGCCTGGGTGAGGCGAGAGGGAGTGTCAGACTCTTACTGACTACAAACCGCCCCGTTCCTACTCCTGCACTTCTTCTCCGCGGCAATAAAATAAACAGCAGGCAGTGTTACTACAGAGACATCGAACACAAAAATGCGATTATAAAATGTTTGTCTGTCTGTATGTTCACACACCACGCAAAACCTAACGGCCCGCTTACGATGAAACTTGGTATGAATATACTTCATTTATTCTAGACATCACACTACCTTTTTATCCCGAATACAAACTTAATTATGCGGCTCGATCCCTAGATTTACGTTACGTACGTTACGTACGTTTGGAACTGTGTCTAGACACAGTAGGTAGGTAGGTAGGACTATTACCGTTAACCGCTATTACCGTTATTATAAAGGCGAAAATATCTAAGTTTGTGTATATAGTTGGTATTCGTTCGTGAGTCGTGAGTCGAAGCACTGTGGTGAAACTGGGAACTGAGGAAGATTATGGTCTGGAACAATACTTTTCAACCGACTTCAAAAAAGGAGGAGGTTCTACATAATAATTACATACATGGATTGCTGTTGCTTGTTTTTTAATTTGTGAGACTAAATTCTTTTTCATCGCACATTCATTGAGATCCCACTCGGGTATAGGTACATTTTTGCAGACATTCGGTTATTCTTCCCCACTTGCAAATCCCACAACTTTTAAACAGCTCAATCGATTTTATATAAAACATATCTGTCTAAAAACAATCGCGCATAAGTAATCTTTCATTAAAAAAGAAAACGAAATTGAAATCACTTCATCCGACATTGTTACATGTGTGTGTGTGTGTGTGTGTGACAAAAATGATCCCATAGTATGTTATTCCACACATCCAGTATCATCATCCAGTACTTTGTCGTCACAGTTACATATATACATCTATAATTCCATACACCAATAAACACTTCCATCCATACATGCTCACACACTTTCGCATCTATTATCTTAGTAGGCTCTGGGAACTGTGCGTTGCCAGTAAGTGTCAACACATACATGTGTATAGTGAGTAGAAGTATTGATGTCGGTGATATACACACCACTGCGATTATATGTTGTTGAATCATCGCAATGATAAAGTATCAATATTAGTAGCTCGGTACTCAAGTGCAGCTATCTAGTCAAGTTATCAGCTTCAAATAACGATTAGTTCAACAGTCGCCACACACTACACATACTTGCTTGCTAATTGTTCACAAACGGAGTTCATTTATATAGCATTCACTAACTTTGGTGCATTTAACTGTGTTTTGTAATTCTCGTTGAACTGATATCAAATTTTATTTCACCTGTTGAAAGTACATCAGCCAGTACCAAATATCTGGTACTGCGCACTGTATGCAATCATGCACCTACATTTTTCCCAATCATTCTAAAGACTCGGTTGGCGCAGTGGCTGGGCATCCGGACATTAATTTTGATCCAAAAATTGTTGTTTCGGGCCTGACTCTGATATGTATTGTATGTGAATGTTTGTAAATACAGTCACGAGCCCAACGAGTCCACGACACGCGAGAAAATCTTCACGAGTTGCCAGATTTTTAAATATTAAGTAATTCGGTTCGACTGTATTTTTTTTACTTTATAGGTTCACTCGGGACTTGAAGACATCCGAGTTATCATCATCATCGACAGCCGAAAGACGTCCACTGCTGGACAAAGCCCCCCTCTAGTCCTAGTCCTGTTACCCAAGTTATATTTGTCCGGAAACACAGATTCCGGCAAGGATTAAAGAAAGATAGTGCAAGATTCTTGCAATTTGCATTACAAGGTTAGACGCTGTGCCGTGTGCTTTCTAAAATATACTGAAAACAATTAATTAGCGCTTTAGCAATTTATTGAACTATCTTATAGTTTTTTTTATTTATTTAGCTTAATACTTTTCATAACTCGGCATCCTCTCCCCGTCAAACCCGTGGCGTAAAACAACAATAAAAAAAATTTTGCGGTCAAGGGACCGCAGAAGGCTGTAGGGTATCGACATTTCAGACAAGGGAAAAAATATTTATTCATCAATTTGCCACAAAAAAGAACTTAATTGTTTATTAAAAAAATATTAATTACCTACACTAAGATTTCCTCCAGTATCGTGTCGTGTACGTGCGTGTACAAATTACTATGGTTTTCTAAAGTTTGTGCCAACATTTGAACGCACGCGTTACGCGAAAATAAAAGTACGTAATTGCTGATATTGACTTAAGTAAGTGATTTTTGAAATTAAATTAATGATTTTATAAATTTTTGCTTACACACGTTGAGGGCCCTGGATACGGCAGATACGGTGCTAGCTACGCCCCGGTGTCGAGCCTTTGGGTGAATCAGATGAGAGTTAATGGTGTTGGCTTGGCCTCAATCTCGGATGGCTTTCCGTCTCGCTTCCCTTTTGAAATACTCACTGCCCCCAGCTCCAGGACTATTTGTGAATCACATAACGAATTATTCTGTACGGGAAAAAGTCGTTGGCCCAGCTACTGCGCTAACTGTACAATCGGTATTAGTTGGTTTGGGGCTTAAAAGGCTTATTGTTTAAATATAACTTGGCACTCTTGATGCATACCTTTAAAATGTGAATGTGACTCAACGTCCGGGTTGTCCACCCAGGATGGTGACGTAATAATTATGTACATGTTTGTTTGAGTATTACATATAATTTGATATTAAAAAGTTGGCTCTCCAGTCCGGCACTTACGCAACGCAGTATTACGTAGAGGTCGCCTTCGCGAAATCAAAAAGAAAAGTATCTCAACGAAGCTGTGTGCTGTGTGGGCACCACACTATTAAACTTGTTTTGTTCTTGTTATTCAAGATCACAACTTGCGCATGTCACGCTTTACTTGACATAGATGTGTGCTTGCCTAGCTTGTCTTATCTATAAAATATAAATTATTTAAAGTACTATATGATAGAGCCATGTTGAACGAATGGGCTAGCTCGACCGGAGTAGTACCACGACCTCACAGAAAAGCAGCGTGAAACAAAGCTTGCGTTGTTTCATAGTGTAAGGGATCTCCCTGAGGTCATTGGATTGTCGTTTTGAGACGGGAGAGAATTGCCTTCTCCCCCATCTCATATCGCCTAAACCTCAAATGCCTAAAGGCCGGTAACGCACTTGTACCATCACACCGGTGTTTCGGGTGTCCACGGGCGGCGCAGATTGCTTACCATTAGGTGATCGTGTGCTCGTTTGCCTCCTTGTACCATACAAATATCACACAATGAATACCTAACTATGCAATGGTTTGTTTAGTTGAAAGTAACAAAGGAATATTTTGTGTTATAATTTTAAGCGAGTTACTTCATTTTTTTATTCTAAGCTATATTATGACTGATTAAAATTTAAATATAATATGAACGAAATACATACAATACATGAACGGAATAAGACACGACTTAATCTAAATGTACAAGTGACGGAAACTAGAAACTGGTGTAGACGTTAGTGTAGTGGGTACGCGGTAATGTATGGCGCCGCTGACTGCGGCCAGCAGTGCACTGCAACGTGCCGCGGGTTTGGTTGATCTACTAATTACACAGTTTACTTTTTATTTTATTTGATTTAATAAATCATTTTGTCCTAAAATTAGATGAATGTCGTAGAACACAAGTTGTTGTTTAATGATGTAACTGATGTATTAGGGTGCGGCGGCCGGCGATGTTGTAGGTGAATCTAAAATAACTCTGAATTATATCGGTGCAACATAGCAAACATTTCAATGGTAGATAAGTAGGCCATAGGCATGCGTAAGCATAACGCAGCCGGTTTCGATTGGATGATCATCTGATAACATCCGCTGTAGCGCCTGCAGCCTGTACTAACAAGTGCCCCATAGCGGCGACTGCGAGCCTTGAAGCAGCGAGCCATTGTTCCCCTACGTACACGTGTCGCTAGTGCTGACGTCGCCGCGTGACGTCAGCGCGCGCGCTCACTCTGCAGCGTAATATTCTGTGGTGCAGCTGGGAGGTGCGAGGCGTTCTATTCACCTTGCACTCTGCACCTCAGGGCACTACAAGGAACTAACTACGGCAATAAACCCACCTTTAGATACACGAATCTCATAACGCAGCTGACAAAAACGGACTGTTTGGCGCCGCTGTTCTTTCTTCCGAAAATTCAAAGCATCATGTCACGGTACTTACTACATTTTACCTAGTGGGTACGTTTGATTGAACAAGGGAGTATATATAACTAACGCGTATCGTAAGTACTTGGCCTTACGTGGAAAAAGGAAACAACAGTTTATGCATAAATAACAAGTTTTATTGCGTTAGAAAGGAACTCTGTCAGTGTGTTAGTTGCGCGTGTTTATTACATACATATACGGCCCCCCTCCCCCTCGGGAGGGGATCTCGCGTGACGCACACACACAAACACGTGTGCAAATTTATATGTGTAACAATCATATTCAATAGATATTACCATCGTGTAAACAAGTCAGCAGCGCCGAGTGCGCCGCGGCCGCGACCGTGAGGCTGCACCGGCGGAGGGTGTACACAGGGAATGCTCATAGGTACTTACTTATTATACTGAGATTATTCTTTTCCATATCATTGGTCCCCAAGAGTAAACCCCTGCTCCAACTTTTTTATATGAAATACAAATGGAATAGATAACTTAAGTGTGTGCTCACAAAATTGTGTTCACAGAATAAACTATGTTTAAACAAAACGACCTCACGAATAAAAATAAGCAATAAAAAAGTTTCTGACGTTATGTATTTATTAACGCTAAGAAAAAAATAACAATGAGCCTCTGCCATTCAAGTGCGAGTCAGAATCTCGCACGAAGGGTAACATGACTCGCAACAATTTACGCCCAGCTCCATCTTTGGACAATTAACGGAACTTATGTATAATCTGCAGTAAATAAATTGTTTCTCTAATAACATCATCAACATAATTGAACCGAAATCTGAAGCTGTATCCCACGGGATACACGGGATATACCACAGGATACAGCTTCAGATTTCTGTTTACATCCGTATCCTACAAAAGTTATTCGCCCGTCGCGTCGCAGTGTTAGGGCTTGTCAGGGCGAGCAGCGAGCAGGAGAAGGACGAGGTCAGAACCGCGAGGCGAGTCCTCCGCCGCGACTGTCGGCGTGCGACGCCAGCGCATCGGCGCGCTGCTGCACCAGGTTGACGGCGGCGTGCGGCGGCGTGGCGTTGTAGGCGGCCGGCGCCGGCAGCGCGGCGGCGGGCGGCGGCGCGCGCCCGGCCTCCAGCGCCAACAAGCCGGCGGGCCGCAGCGCCACGCGCGCGCGCTCCACGGCGCCGGCCGCGCCGTCCACCACCAGCGCCGCGCCCGCCTGCGCCAGGGCGCTCGTCGACTCCGCCCCCAGCACGTATCGCGTGCCTGCACACACGCGCACTCTCACATCACTCATAGTAATCTATTAAATATTTCAATTATTAAGGTATGGTATTGCAGTGTTTTAGTTAGTTTTGACTTTAGTTTGTCTTGTTGTGAATTTTCCTTTGTGTTGGTAGTACCTACCTATGGCCAACGGGCCGGCGGCTACGTACTAGGAATTTGACTCACCTACGTACGTAAGGTAAATTCATAGTTAAACGTTCATTTCATAAATATCATTTTCTTTGTAAAATAATTAAGCAATAAGAACAGTTAGATTTAATTTAGTTTTATTGTTACTTTAGTTTGTTATTTTACTTACCTACATTACTTTAATTGATTAGGTAATATAATCGTTGTATCATAGTTAGAGAGAATGCATCGAAAAAAATATAATCTCAGCCAATGTAGCTGAGATGCTAAAACGATGAGAATCTGAAGGCCAGGAACGTCAGGCCTGCATTCGCACGGTAGGCTTTATGTAGCTTAGTCGCACGTGAGCGATCCCAGAAACTTACATATATGCTTTGATTCCAGACAGTGGCGTAGCGTAGGTTGACGGGGCCCCGTATAAAATATGTTTGGGAGCCCTTATGAGAGGTAAAAATTTCTTCGAAGAATTTTTTTTTTACATAATATAGGACAATGATTAGGTTCTTTAGTTTTTCCAAAATTCCTGCCATGGAATGGATTTCTCTATGTCATGGTTTCTGCCAACCTTTAAACGCATCTATTTTGTGATTACTAAAATAAAATATAAATTGAAAAGTTTTTATATTTTTCTTCCACACGTTGGGGGCCCCCGTGGTCCGGGGCCCCATATAATTGATACGGCAGATACGGCGCTAGCTACGCCCCTGATTCCAGAAGGCAATACAACTAATGTTGTATACAGAGAAGCATTGTTGATTTTCATTTTTATTAATACCCACTGCCCCATAAGGTCGCGGGCACAGCTAATTTTATATTTCATGTACAGATTTCTCTACATATAATAAATATTATAAGTAATAGAAGATTGCTAGGAACTTGCGTTTTGTAGCGCGCTGAAAATCAATAATTAATCGGTTTTTGAGTTGTTTTAATGTGTTGCTGTAAGCTTCCCTCAAAGTTCTGTGTTTATTTTATTTCAATTTAATGCTATAAATGCAAAAGTAGCTCTGTCTGTCTGTCTGTCTGTCTGTCTCTCCTTCACGCCAAACTACTGAACCGATTTGGATGAAATTTGATACAGACATAGTTTAAAACTCGAGTAAAGACATAAGATAGTTTTTATCCCTGGAATATCACGGGAGCAAGAACTTTCCGAAATCCCACGAGATCGGGTACCTATTACGTAAGTAACATCAAATTCTGCCAGAAGGCACTATTCCACGAAGACGAAGTCGCGGGCAGAAGCTAGTTTCTAATACAATCCATCAGAGTCATATATAATCTGTCAATGGTGGCCTGCTTCCTAGGAAGCGGGCCATCTGTGGGTAGTAGGTATATCATGTTTACTACGATACAAGTGATTTTATTTGTATTTGCTTATCTGTTTGAAGATCAAATTAAGCTTACAATAGATGTAAGGTACAGTCACCACAGAAGGACTGCTTCCTAAAATTTTTCACTTTAAACAAATACAGTTATGAATGATCCGAAACATTTGAAACTTCGCATGTTTATGCTATTAGCGCTCCACACAAAAGTGCAAGTGGATTTCATTACCGGCGCATCGTCATTTAAAATTGAGACGACAGTGTGCTGGGTCCTGTCAAGATGATACCCGTTTTACAAAATTGATTATCTTAATCGATATCTATCTTCTATCTTACTTACTTATAATAAATCTGTAGAGAGGTCAATTCTGTACATAAAATATTTTTAGAAAATAACTATCAAGGGGTGGTTAGGGATCGCTACTGATGCCAAAAATGCAATCAGTAAAATTTTTGTCTGTCTGTCTGTCTGTCTGTATGTTCGTTATGGAAACAAAAACTACTCGACGGATTTTAACGAAATTTGGTACAATTATTCTTCATAGTCTTGGGCAGGTTATAGTATACTTTTCATTACGCTACGATCAATAGGAGCAGAGCAGTGAAGGGAAATATTGGGAAAACGGGAGAAGTTACTCCATTTTTTAAGCTTCCGTCGCGTGTACAGGCTTAATAGTTAAAGCTACATAGAAATCATGTATGAC